ATCGTTGACGTATACTATAAAGAGAAGTGGGCCAAGGATAGAACCCTGTGGAACACCACATTTTATTTCAATTAATGTTTTATTTTGAAGATTAATAGGAAGCAATTCTTCTCCGTGGTAGACGAATTGCTTTCTATTTGACAAGTAGCTTTTATACCATTTGATCATTTTACCAGTTATTCCGTAAAACTCTAGTTTTTTAAGTAAGATATCATGATCGACTGTATCAAAAGCCTTTGATAAATCGACAAAAACACCAAGTGTATATTGTGATTTAGCAAAAGAATTTGAGACTTCACGTGTAAATTTAATAATGGCTTGTTCAGTTGAACTATTTTTTTTAAAGCCGAACTGATTTTTATATAGTAAATTATTTGAAACCAGGTAGTTGTATATTTTTTCGAAGATAATTTTTTCTAATATTATTGAAAACGTAGGAAGGATAGAAATAGGGCGATAATTATTTACGTTTGATTTTTCTCTTTCTTTATAAATCGGGATAACTAACTGATATATATACAAGGGAAAACCTCTTGTATATATATCAGGCCTTGTTATGAGATTTCGCTGCGTAACAGAAAAGCGAAACATGAATAAATGTAACTTAACTCAATAAAGATATTTACATTGTTAAAAGTTAAATTACGTCAGTTGCGTTTTTACTTCATTGTAATTAAATTTAAAATGACATTAAAAACTATTGTTAGTCTTTGAAACAAAATAGCTTTAAATTGAACAATATTGTTATAAAAAAAAAAAAACTAAAGTTCTAATGTTGATTAAAAAAAAGTCTTCTTGTATTAAAATCTTATACTTATTTAAACTTAATTTTTTTGCTATCAAACATTCGTTTTATGGTTGTTGTTTTTTTTAATATTCTTTTTTTAATAATTTAAATTTAACACTTGTTTATGGTTGATTTTCTTAAAGGAATTTAAATGTACTTACAACTAATCGCATAAATTGGGTTTTCCCTTTTTTAAATAAACGTTTGCACTAACTGGTTTTGATAAAATAAATATTGTAAAGAAACGAAATTTACTGCTTTTCGGCTTTGTTTTTTTTTTATTTCCATTAAAATATTTTATTTTTATGTACAGTGAAACCTAATGTATTTTTACTATTTTTTTACTCAATCCAAAAAAAGATGTTATAAGCAGAATTTGTTTTTAACAAATATCATTATAATTTTGAAATTTATTTAACTTATATTTATAGCTCTAGTACTAGTTTTGTTTTTAAAATAAAATATAAGTTGGGCTTTTAAAGAGTTTATTTACTGATCGCGTTATTTTTAATAGGTTTGAATTTTGGTTTGTTTTATAAAAAAAATTCTTTGGCAAACGGCTAAGGGAAAACCCAAACATAACACTTATAACTCGAGTTTAAAAGAACTTTTTTGTTTTGACATTATTAACTTGTAGTTATAAAATGAATAATGCGCTTCTGTAAATAATGAATGAAACTGTAAAATAATAGAAAAAAAAAAACTGGAAAATAATGCGCTTTTGTTCAGCGCATTATTCAGACCAGTATTTGGAACTGGAACTTACCTGAAACTTAACTGAAATTAAAATAAAGTTATATGTAATACGAACATTTTAAAGTAACTTGAATTAAATTTATTAAATCTTTATTTACTTTGGAAATTTTATCATTAAAAAAAATTGTAAAACGGAGCATTTTAAAATTAAAAAAATTTTAAATGCTCTGTTTTAAAATTAAATAAAAGAATTTTAATTAAATTTAATAAATTTATTTACTAAAAACTATGATTAATAAAAAAATATTTAAATTTAATAAAATAAATTGAAAATTTTTTTTTTTTTTCAATTTGAATGTTTTTAAACTTATGAAATATAAAACTTAATATTAAATATGATAAAAAGTTTAAACTTAAAACACTTATTTTTTTTAAACTAATTTTTAACAACAACAACAATAAAAAAAATTTTAATAATTTTTCTTTATTAAAAAATCTATTAGTTTACAATCGCAGTTAAATGCTTCTACTTAGGACTTTATTTTCCTCTGAATAAACGTCACATAAACGATATCAAATGATAATTTAAATATTCTAAAAGATTAAAGTTTTTGCGTAACGCAAAACTGCTGAGCGCGTAGGCAAATCGCCTTTTCGCAGGTAAAATGCGAGCTGCGTAACGATTCTTAACAAGGCCTGATATATATACTCAATTGAATAAATATATACTTTTATTTTGCATTTTATAATATTGGTAAAAGCTTCTCTTGATTTAAAATCTTGATTACCTCTACTTAAAATTACTTTTCTTACCTGCTGATTAAGAAAGAGGGATTCGTAATGCTAGAGTCTAAATTTTATTTAAGGGCAATTTTATGTGAAAACCTTATTTTTTTATAAAATGCAACCCTAAGTCTCAGATTTTGCTGATTTCTATACCACTCAAATATTCTAATAATTTATGAACACCCTCAACATTTTATCAAAATAAATGGATCATGTTTAAATTATATTCTTAAATTTGAAAACAAAACCTGTTTAAAAGTTGTTTTTACTTCCTTCTATACACATGTAGATGTCCATTGCAAGTAATTTAAAAATCTTTCAAAATTTTAAAATTACTTGCAATGGAGTTTTCTAAACTTTAAATTTTTCCTTTTTTTTTTAAATTTTGCCGATTAGTTAATTTTTTTATCAAAATAAAATTCAAAACTTTGTTTCATAAAAAAAAAAGTTATACAAAACAATCTTAACTTTAAAGATGACAGAGTTTCTTTAGCAATATGCGACAACTGTAGAATTCAATTTTTTTTTTTTTTTTTTTAATTTTTATTTTAATTCACCTCCTCAAGGCCGAGAAGGCCACTATAGACGAGGAGGCTACTTATTTGTGGTTATAACCCTCTCTCAACTCTATAACTCCGAAACACGAACCTTGACGAGCAAGGTCGCTGCGCGGAGAAACGAGTTGATTTGGGAAATTGGAAAGAGTACAAGCAAAAACTGTTTCTCAGTTTTTCAATTTTCAATCATTTTTAAAAAAGCCAACAACAAGACAGACTAAAAAATGGGACTGCTTTATTTGACAAATCAGCAAACTGAAGTCCTATGAAAAACATCCTGTAAGCAACTCCAAGAGTATAGCAGCTAAACCTGATGAGGCAGTTGAGAAGAGTTGTGTGAAATGTTTGTCATTTCCTGTTAAAGGCCTTTCACATCAGTGCACTCCTAGAACTTGCTATGGAAATTTGAGGATGATGCCTAAATCAGATCCAATTGGAACTGAGCAAGTAACATCAACATAGCACCATACATGTGCAAATGATATGTCATTTGCACATGATGTCAAAAGAGCGTAATTAATAGTCAAGTAAAAATCAATAAATATCGTCATCTCAGAATAAATAAATAGTGAGCTTTTTGTATCAATATTTTGTTGTCAATAATTTTTCAATAATTATAGATATCAAAAATAATATTGTAAATACTGTGAAAGTTGGATATTTGGTAAGCTAATGTCTTTGGGTCATGATAACAACATCAGTTTTTGTTATGTCTAATAACACAGGGGGCTATTTTAGACTGTTTTTTACAGCGTCGAAGGTATTTGGATGCTAATTTGGGCACCCCCAAATTAAATTTTGAGGACCTTTTTTTTTTTAAATTTTGTTATTTTTGCAAAAAAACTGCTGATTTTCTGCTAAAGTGTGCCAGAACGAGCCTCTGAACAGGGTATCACTTCCTAATTTTTTTTCCTAGAATAGGCCCTGTAATATCAGCTCAATAACATCTGTAAATACACTGAGATATAATAACATCTGTGCAACAACATCCGAAATTTCATTGATGACATCTGTGTAAAAGTATATGAATAGTACAGATGTAGTTACCTCTTTTCCATTATCTATGCATAACAACATCTTTGTAATTATATCTAGAAATTTTACAGATATAGTTACATCTTTTCAATTATGTTAAGAATAATTGCATCTGTATAACTACAACTGGGGATTCTACATTATTAGTTACATCTTTTCAATTGTATTAAACATAACTACAGGATTTCCTTCAGATGTAATTACTTCAGGATAAACTATTAAATAATAATGGATTATTTTAACCTGATTAAGTTTTTTTAGATGTAATTACATCTGGAGAAAATTCATTCGGATGTTATTGGATTTGGAGAAGAATTCACAGATATAGTTACATCTTCCAAAAAATATTGTTTCATTCATATTGGGTCATTGAGTTTCCAGATGATATTGTACAGATATTGTTGGAGTAAAAATAAAAATACAGACAATCTTAAACAAAAGTGTACAGATGATCTTGGACTACTCTAAAGATGTTTTTGACAGATGTAGTAATCTTTTACCAATTTTTTTTTAGTCGCTCTGACCAAGTACCAAATACTTTGGTTACTAATTTAAATAAATTCAACTACAATTCAAATGCATTTAGATGTTCATTAAATTTTTCTATTATTTGATAAACTAAGTCATTCTTAAAGTTTAGGTAGTAATTTGAATAAGCTGAACTGCAACTTGTACACGCTTGACACAATTGGCATTCCATGTTGTTCAGCATTAAAGTCATAAATTGTATATATATATATATATATATACAATTTTATATATATATATATATATATATATATATATATATATATATATATATATATATATATATATATATATATATATATATATATATATATATATATACATATATATATACATATATATATGTATATATATATATATATATATATATATATATATATATATATATATATATATATATATATATATATATATATATATATATATATATATATATATATATATATATATATATATATATATATATATAATTCGTGTGAAAATTCCCTTACTTAACAAGCTGTCAAACAAGAAAATTAAAAAAACATATTTAAATTACAGATTATTATATTTTTAGAACTGTTAATATCTGTTGCAGTAGTAAAAAACTTAGACTTGCATTTGAGACTTACCTTGGAAAATTTGGAATATTTTGAACATCTGCAATCACTATTTTATGTACGGACAACAAATGAGCAAGTATTGGATTTCCAGTGCCATTTTCAGTTGAAGGAAATTTGCTGTTACAAACCAAACATTCAATATCATTAGAAAATTTTACATTTTTAGTTAATTCTGATGTTATTTGATTTATTGATAGAGGTTGTAAAATATTTATTGGTTCCATCGCTGAAAAAAAAAAATTTGCAGCTTATTATTTAAAGCGTGCGCCCGACGGATTGTAACTCGTTACTGAACGCAAAGGTCCAAATAAAATATAATGATGACCAAATTTAAGGTAAACTGATAATGTGACGGAAAGAAATAATTATTTTTGTTTGCAAAACAAATATATATGTGTTTATATACCAGAGATGTAGGTCTCGAAACTCATATTTAACTATCTTGGTCTTGGTCTTGAATACTTTTACGCATACGAGTCTTTATAAGAATGTCAAAATATAAGTTATGAAACTAAGCGATACATAGTTGTCTGTTTCACTTTAAGTATTTAAATAGAATAGTTAACTTTAATTAATAGTTAATTTTTCTTTTTAGCTAAAACAGAAATTAAATGCTTCTCCCTTTAAGATTAAGCTTTTCGATTTAAATTATATCTTGAATAAACGGGACGACTGAATAAGTGCGAATTTCATAAGTGCGAACTGGCGTAAGTGCGAATTGGCATAAGAGCACCATTAGAATTTCCAAACATTGGCAAAAGTGCGAACTGTCATAAGTGCGAAGCTTTTATAATAAACTTACAAACATTGGCATAAGTGCAAATTGGAAAAAGTGAGAACTGGCATAAGTACGAAGCAGTTACAGAAACTCTAACTGGCATAAGTGCGAATTGGCATAAGTGCTCCGAATAAATTTACAAACATTGGTATAAGTGCGAATAGGCAATTAAATAGGCGAATAGGCATAAGTGCGAAGCAGTTACAAAGACTGGCATAAGTGCGAATTGGCATAAGTGCGCAGAATAAAATTACAAATATTGTCATAAGTGCAAATTGTTATTTCGCTCTTATGCCAATTCCCACATATGCTAGTTCGCACTTATGCCAATCTTTACAAGTTTATTCGACGCACTTATGCCAGTTCGCACTAATACCAGTTCGCACTAATGCATGCCAGTTTTTCCAATTGCTTTGCACTTATGCCAGTTCGCACTTATACCAATTCTCACTTATGCCAGTTTGCACTTATGCCAGTTTCTGTAACTACTTCGCACTTATGCCAGTTCACACTAATGCCAATTCCAATGTTTGCAAATTTGTTCGGCGCACTTATGCCAATTCGCATTTATTCCAGTTTTTGCAACGCTTCCCAGTGGGCACGGACGTGAAAAAGACGTCTTGTAAACGTCTTATAAACGTTTTGGATGTCTATTGAACAACTTTTGAACGTTTTGGACGTCTTTTGAACGTTCAAAAGACGTCTTTTTTAGGTCCGGTGCCAACTGGGTTCGCACTTATGCCAGTTCCCACTTCTGTTAATTCGCGCTTATTCAGCCTCCCGGAATAAACTATGATTGCATACCCCAATTTACAGAAATCTTTTTAAAAAAGATAAAAAATCAAATTGTACTTTTAAGAAAAAATTACTTTGAAAAATTAAATCTAAAAACTAGTTTTAATGCCGTAAATCAATTAATCCATCTATAAATCAATCAATATATTTTCACTTTAATAACTGCATATTTATATAATAATAAGGAACAATTACAAGCAATTAAAAATTGATGAGGCGTAAGTGGTATAAATGAGGTGGTATAATAAAGCAATTGTTGTAAATTAATAATAATAATAAAATAATAGTAATAATGCATTAATAATAATAGCAAGAATCCTAATACTAATAATAACACTGAAGACAAACAAAATAATTATAATAATAACAGTAATAGTTTACAAAAATAACACTAATAAAAATAATAATGTTAAATATAAACAGTGGTGGATTAAGACTTCTTGGGGCTCGGGGCTATTTTTGTTTTTGGAGACCTTTTTATGGGCCAGAGCCTAAAAATGACATTAAAAAAAAAAAAGGTACTCTTGCGGGGTCCGGGGCTATAGTCCCCCCTTGATCCGGCACTGATTATAAAGATAACAATACGTAAACAATAACAACAAGGGCATAGGGATAGTCGTTTTGAGGAGAGCTATAAATAAGAAACTGTACCTACATTTATAGATTCAGTCACACACAAACACACATACACACAAAGGCACGCACATACACATATACATATATATGTAACAAATAAACAGGTATAAATAAGAAGATAATTTATACGTACACGCATATACATAATCTTATACGCACAGAAATGTATACGCACAATGCAAACATGTATATACCCAGCCAGCATTGACAGACGGGTACCGTATGGTTTTTGTCTGGGGTCACGGGAACGGGATTTTGACAGGTAAGTGTTTTGGTTTCCAGACGGGTCCCATATGGTAATAAAATCAAGCACCCAGCTAACATTGACATACGGGTACCGTACGGGGCCCATACGGGTCGTCAACTGGGTCCCGTATGGGAAGACCAACGGTATCCCGCCGGATCATGACCGCGGTTTCCATATGGGACCCATATGGATTAGCCCGCCGGGTATCCCGTATGGGTCCCAGTCAAATCCCGTACTTTAAAACCGTAAGGGAACCATTTGGATTTGCAAATGGGACCCATATGGGAAACCCATGGGAAACCCGCCGGATCATGGCCGCGGTTTTCTTTTGGGGCCCATATGGGTATGCCCGCCGGGTATCCCGTGAGGGTCCCACGAGGTTTACCCATTGCAAATCTTGCAAAACTACGTTTAAATGTTTAAAATTTACAGAAAAAGCAAATTTATATATAAATTGATTGGTTTATTTAAAAAAAAAATAGTAATTAAAATTACACTGTCAAAATTAAGCAAACTTTTGAACGATTCTTTAATCATGTATCAAATGCTTTCACGTTTATCTCGGAAATCGGAAGCTTTTATATTGTTGTTAAAACGACTTTTTGAAAACCTCTTTACACAATATCTCGTTTCAATATGAACTGTAAAAAATTAAGTTTAACTGTTAGTTTTAAATTTCATTGGTAACACATACATTAATTTTAATATGTTATAAAACTCTTACAATTTCTCCCAACTCTCTTCAGATAAAAAATGTAATTTTCACCATCAAAGGTACTTGTAATAGATAAGCACATGCTTATGATTCATATAATAAATTGATAACATTCCTTTAGTTACTGACAAATAAATTGTATAAAATTATTAAATAAATATATTTTTTTATTTATATTGTATATAATTTGATATATATTGTATATACCTTATATTCAGTGCCATGGCTACTAGATACAAGCCCCCCATTCCAAAAAAAAAAAACTGTCATAAGGGCCCCAAAATTCCTAAAAACTAAATAAAAATCTAAATAAAAATCCTAAAAAAAAAAAAAAAATCCTTACATTTGTAAAAGAGTCCCTAAATTTGCTAATGAGCCCCCTAGACAAACATTTTTTAATTGACCTGAAAAAATTTTGTATTTGAAAGAGGGACATCTATCAAGTACCTAAAATTTAACTGTATTATTTCCTATATGTGCTAATGAATGGGCATTGTACACTAGTTGATCCTTATGATAAAGTTCACATATAAAAATAAGTAGCTGAAAAGCAAAATTAATATATTTTTTCAACAAAATGAAACATTATGAAAGTAGAACTACAACTGAAAAATCTAAAAAATTGAATACATTTTTGGCTAAACCATTCCCTTTAAACAACTGGTCAAGTGTTTACTATAAATAGTCTAAGCTCAGTTGTTTTCCATTTTTTAATATCTAATTAAGACCTTGATTTTCTATAAAAATTTCTTGGAATGTAATGACGTATCTGGAACAATCCGCCAGATAAAGTATTGACTGTAATCTGAGACAATTTACAACATTTGGGCAATTTAACCATAAGTTGAGAAATCTTCGCATTACCCCTAAGCATACTAGATGCATTAAGTCTAAAGGAAACTTTGTCACCATGTCAAAAATTAATTCAATTTAACACACCACTAAGATGTTCAGAATGCTTTTAATGACAAAAAATCTGAATTAGTGCTTAAAATTAGTGAAATATGTAGCAGAATTATCTTGCCACACCACTCTCCTTTCTAAGCACAACATTCACATCAGTTATAACCATTGTGTCCTTTAATACACTTTACAAATGCTCTAGCTGGTGCATCACATATGATAACAGCAAGATTGATTTTAAACTCAATATTTTCATAGATAAAACCATCTTTTGCAAGAACTTTGAAATCTACCAAAAAATTATGTAGACAATTAAGGTGACCTGCTATTCTCATTTACTGAGTTTTTTTACTCTTTTTTCACAAACCGTACTTTTTTCAAATCCTGTACTCTGAAAGTACTCATTTGTATAATTTTGTACTCATTTGTATTTCTAAAACATTTTTTTTTTATATTATTTCATTTCAATTTTATTAATTAAATATTTAAAATCATTTTGACAGTGATTTGAATTTCATGCGCACATATTGCTAGCCGTTTCCAGCACGTCAGAGGACAGGGCAAACACCAGATACAAGTTGACAGTGATTTAAATTTTGAACGCACATATGGCTGCCATTTTCAACACAATTGAGAGGCCGTATTATGAACCTGGAGAGATAGATAGATACTACAGATCTCTTTTTCTAACAATGTCAAAATTACATTTGTGAAAAGAGATGGATCCAACATTTGCATATGTAATCCCCAGGCTGATCTTTGATGTGCAGTATTTACGCCATGCTTGACAGTCTTGAGGCATGCGTAGTATGTACAGCAAAGTTTTTTATCCATTTATTTAATTAAATAAAAGGATAACAAAAACCTTACCGTACATACTACGTATGCACTTATGGTTAATTAACCATAAAATCAAAAATTACAAACTTAATTATAATTTACAAATTTATGTTCGGTGTCACTCATATTAAAAACAAGTCAATATAGCGACACCTTCATAAAATAAACAAATAAAATAAAAAATAATAAGAAAGAAAGAAAACTACATTAATACAAGTAATAAAAAAAGAAGTATAAGGAACAATACTATTTAAAAAGTTGGAATTAACACATAAATATAAAAGAGTAACGCTAAGAAAAATGAAAAAAAAAAGAGAAAATGAACAGATGAGATAAGATGAGTGAGAAAATATGTAGGAGAAAACAAAAACTTA